GCCTCGATGCCTCAGGTAACAGCTGTTTGTGAGAGTTCAGGAGGCCTATGTTGGCTCTGGGTGACCAAAACAGATGATCAGAAAGGAATTTAACAGCATATCAATGCCGATGTCAAATTTCTTTTAAATGTTTTGCATTTGCAGTATTTTTATTTGCCGTGTGTGAAGCGAAATAGCCCAAAAGATCCTTCTTTGACTTAAACTGTACAAACTTAATCGTGGAGGAAAAGTGCAAAGATCAAGATCACATTTGGGAACTGAAAGTTTCATAATTTGTTTAAACACAATGCCGTTTGCTATTTGCCATAATGCCATTTCCTAAATATGTGATAAAACCAACAAAAATGTGTTATAAATTAATTTACAATATATACATTTTGCAGCTTATCTTTAACATTGATAACACTAGAATTATGCAAAATGAGGAGCTTTGATGGCAATTTTGTCACTTTTTTCTATTTTGTAACTAAAGTAGGAGGATATACCATTGACTGTACATCGCTTTGTTTTTGTTTTTAGGCTTTTTCATAAAGTCTGTTGAAACCCCATTTAAAAATGGCAACAAAGGAAAAAAAATGAGGTTAAAATTTAAAATATAAATAGATAAATGACAAAGGCGTGAACCATATTAAATGTGGCCCTGTATATGTGAAAATGTGCGATGCTTTCCAGGTGTCGTACGTGAAAGCGGTGGACATCTACCTGTGGACCAGCTTCCTGTTTGTCTTCCTGTCTGTGATTGAATATGCAGCCGTGAACTACTGCACCACTCTGGAGGAGATGAGGAAGATGAAGAGGGGGAAGGTCAGCACAGGGGGGAAGGGAGATTATTACTGTGCAAAGAGCGAGGCAACATTTTGCTTAATGTCGCACTCTAGTGGCCAATCAGGGTCATTACATGTGCTGCACAGAACCCTCCAGCTGCCTCTTGGATCTTTACTAAGATTTACTCAAACTTCGACATTTTCGTGCAAAGCGTGAGAGCCTTTTTGGAGCCAGAGTATTGATTCAATTCAGTTTTATTTATACAGCGCCAAATCACAACAACAGTTACCTCAAGATGCTTTATATTGTAAGGTAGACCCTACAATGATACATAGAGAAAGACCCAGCAATCCTAAGATCCTCTCTGGGCAAGCAGTTTAGCAACAGTGGGAAGGGAAAAACTCGAGTTTATTTGAAAGTAACCATTGGCTGCAACCTTCCCTTTCATGTGTGTGAAAAGTCAGTCATTGAGTCAATAGGTTTCAAGCAAAGTGGCCTCTCAAAGTATTAACAAAGTACTTCAGAATGTGGAGCATATTTTTAAACAGCTGAAATCACTAGTTTATTATTTGAGTTGTTTTAATCATAAATATCAAAAATTCAACCTAGCTCTTAAAATATGAAAATCTCCAGCGGTTACTGTCTTCAGGAGGTTTTGGACTGTTGAAGGACTCGAGAGAAAAAGAATCGTCTTGGTGAAACACTGACACCTTGTGGCAAAAGCAAGCATTACGTTTTACAAAAATATCTTTAAAATGTCAAAAGTAGTTAAAAAGAAACTGCAGTCAGGTGAACATTTCCTTTCATTTCAAAACATCCACAAGTTTTAAACTGCTTTGTGTTGTTATTAGCTCTTTCTATATAATCTCTACATGTCATGTTGGAATTTGGATTTCTGTGTAAATCTGAAACAAAGTGTCCACTGATGCATTAAAACTGCACATGTTTGATCACCACTCAAATCTGATTTAAAGAAATGATTCAAACGTTTGTCTTTGCCACAAAATGGAATTTTTAAGAGATGTCCCCCCTTTTTATTTACATATTACCTCTTTGCTTTTAAAGATTAATCCTCAAATTGTAATTCAAGATTTTTGAGTGCCGGGTCTCTGTCGGTGAAATCTCCACCTGCTTGTTTCCTTTCTTTGCCTTTAAAGATCCCGTCCACCTTCAATGCCAGTCAAGCAATGGCCTTTGACGGGTGTTTCCACGACAACGATATTGAGCTGACTACATTCCCCCGTCTGGCACCCACCTTGACCTCTGACCCTCTGACATCGCCAACCCAAAGCTCAGACATGCACCCCACGGAGGGAACACGGCTTCGCCGGCAGCGGTCTGTACGTGAAAACGTGGACCTGCTGGTCAACAACAGCTACATGATCGACTCGTACTCTAGACTGGCCTTCCCTCTGTCCTACCTGCTCTTCAACACCATCTACTGGAGCATGTACTCCTGATCCAGCACCAAATACTCTACAAATTTAATCTGAGTGCTGCAGAGGAGATTCCTCATCTCGACAGAGGTCCGAAGAGACTTCA